CTGTGTTTACAAATACTTCATTGTGTAATATACTAAAGATTTTTCGCAGTGTTTGAGCAGGGCCAAAAATCTGCAGCTGAGAAATTTCCATGTAATATGCATTAGAAAAGTGTTACTCTAAACGAGTAATGGAAATTATTTCTGCTCCAGGAAGCAAAATGATGCTGAATGAATGAGAGAAGAGGGTTTTTCTGTGTCTCACCACAGCACAAGGTTGTGCCAGAACATGTTCCCACAACCTTTCAACCCATTCAGCACAGTCTGCAACTTTCTGACTATTTCTGCATATTGCACTCAATGATTAAGCGCTGGGGACTCTGATAATACATCCTTTCACCAGACACACACAACAGAATGCCATCTCAGCTGCTCCAGAACTGTTTTTCCAGTTACTCTTCCTAAAAATCAGATTATCAATAGATTATCCTTCTGATCATAAGGGCGTAAAACTTGGAGATGTGTTGTTCCTGGCTGGGACTCCATCTCTTAGTAATCAAATATTGTTCTTGTTGACAGTATGATCTCTTCATCTAACTGAAGCCTGTTGCAGGCTGCCTTTGCCTATAACACAAATGAGGTGGTTCCATGACTGCAGAATAACCACTGCAGGTGTGAAACAGGATGGCTATTAAATTGTACAAAGCTAGAGTACACAGTGCTTTCTCTAACACCCGCAGTTGTATAGTGGTACGTTAGCTTTGCTTAGCTTTCTCAGTCTCCTTACCAAATACATTATAGCATTTCTCGTGGTTTAAGCTTGGTAGAAAAAACAGTTTCTGTTGTGAAAGATTTTTCCATCACTCAGCAAAACTGGGGCACTGTGACCCCCACTAGCACAGCAGAGTTGCCAGTACAAGAGTTAGCATCAAACCACTGTGGTTTGCCAAATTTGTTGACAGTGGAAGAGAGTTTTCTTTTCTGAGTTGAAGATCTGTAATGTAGCACAAATACATCATCAGAACCGGTCCTGTAATGCCGGCTGACAGCAGTCAAGGAGCAGCACATCCCTGGTGACTGATTGGCAGCCAACTGACAGCTAAATCACCTCCATTTCATGTTGCACCTGGTGAAAAAAGGAAAACAAAACCAAAATGACACTATTACCATCAGAGTAGAGAAGTACAAAGCACAGTAACATGGACAGGTACCAACAAGATCAGGTACCAGCCATTTGGTTCTCACCTGTGCAGAAGAGTATCTTCAGTATCTTGTACTGTTAAGGAGCCTTCATCCCTTGGACATGCAGGTGGCTCTTGCAGTGATGTGTGAATATAGGAGGCAAGAGGACCTTTGAGGACCTCCAGCATCAAGGAACATTTCAACATTAAGACCTACGTCAGTAAATGGAGAGGAGTAATTGTGGGTAGCTTGGCTCTGGATCCTATCCTGTGCAGGTGAAGGGCCTCTACCTGGTGTCAGAACATGAGGCCACTGGGTAAGTTTTCCATACAGGTGTCTCTAAACAGGTTCAGGCCATGGAGCCACCACATTCTCAATGGCTCTCTGCAAGCCCAAGTGCTGCCTGATGGCGGATCCAAGGGTAGATGTAGTTGAGTTTCCATGCCTACCTTTTATCCTCCTTGCTAGATGCCCCACTTGGGCATCATCATCATATCATCATCAACATACTAGAAACCTTTTTTCATTAGAGGGAACTACAGAGGTTGAGTTAATGAGAATAAAAATCTCAGTTCTGTTCAGCTCTAGGAAAGGAAAGACTAGTGTCTTCAAGCAGAAGCCCTGGATGCTCTTCTGTAATGCTTGAAAGGCAGAACTCACTGGTTGTTCAAATCATCAGACAGATCAGTCTGTGAAAACATTTGCTGCTCTCCATGCCCTGTGCTGCAACACTTACACACTGATTTTTTTCCATCACCGAAGTCCTGCTGCGTAAAACAAACATTAATATATTAGTCTTTGCAGCATCCAATCATGGCAAAAAGATACCTTACAAGCATTTTTTCCTATTTAGCTGTAAGTACTGATGTGTTTTTTTTATATTTCTACGATCAATACCCATCTTTAAATAAGAGAGACCTACCACCCTTCCTGTGAAAGCATTTCAAAGCATGGAGAAAGCAGAAAATTCATGTTATGGAGAGAGGAACTGATGCAAAAAAAAATGGGATCAGACAGCATCATGTGAACCCAACAGAAAAGCAGAAACACAGTAGATAAATGTTCTTGTCTTTTTCTTGTCTAACTTAAACCTCAAACCATTTGTACCACAGCAAGAAAGCGCTCTGCTGCCTTACATTTTGAATGGTATTTTACATGACCACATTTGTGTGTTTCTAAATAAAATCTTCTTTGCAGCAGACTGCAGCAGCCAGCTTCACACTTTTTCAAAGGAAAAGCTTCACCTTTGCTGTTCCTTGCCAGTACACCTCATTTAAATTGAGCCTGGCTTTTTGACGACCGCCCAAGGAGGTTTCTCTGAGGAGAACCACTGCACAGGGCCTGCTTGTTCCAAAGTGTGCTGGAGGGGTGCAGAGAAGTGTGTTGGCAGGGGAAAGAATACACAGTGCAACCCAAGCAAGCAGCCTGACCTCACCAACCACAGTTCTGCTGTCCCCCGGCAGCTTTCACACAGCTGTGATGCGTGCAGGCAGATTGGAAGCACAGCTTGCAGTCCCAGACAGCCCCACCTCAAAAAAGAAAGACAGAAAAGCCCACAGAAAAAGAAAAGGTATGCTCACTGGGTTGTAGCTAACACAAACACTTTCTTCTGCCACTTTTCTGATTTTTTTATAGGCTCTTGCATTTCTCAATGTGCTGCATACAGCAGGAAGTTATGGTCTGTGTTTAGCCTTATCACAAGTAATGAATTTTGCATAGCAAGCCTGTGAGTGAGTCACTTGCTACACCAGATAAAGCTCTGTGCCAGGCACACTCCAAGGATACCTGCAAGTGTCCACAGGGCAAGAGTCTTGAGGCAAGTCCTCCTCTCCGCAGGGCTCTCTGCAGGCCATCTTACACATCTGTGCTTGTTTCTCCTCCCTTACAGGGGGGGTTGTTCCTCTCCATTTCACCTAATGCTAGAGGAGACTGCCCCTTGCCAAATGCATAACAATTCTGGAGGGAGAGGGGCATCTCTGGAGATGCACTTTGCTCCAGCTGGTGAAGAGAGGAGAATGTACACTGCTCCCAAATTCAGAGTGTTAATGTAACCACAGGCTTCCTGCCTTGGAGCTGGGAATGCCAGAATATGCTCAACAGTCAACTCTCACTCTTCCTGGCACCTCATTGTGGATGATAGGGGCCCAGGGAAGGATCACTGCAAAACAGCCTGCAAATAGTAATTCATCCATTCACGGTGCAAAGGTGAATTATGTTGCTACAATCTCATGCTAATTTGGATACTCAAAAAATCTCTTTTCATAGAATCACAGAACTGTAGAAACATTTAGGTTGGAAAATACCACTAGGATAATGTGGTCTAACTATCAACCCATCCCCACCATGCCCACTAACCCATGCCACTCAATGACTTATCTCCATGGTTCTTGAACACCTCCAGGGATAGTGACTCCACTTCTTCTCTCAGCAGCCTGTCTTTATTATCAAGAAACCAAGGCTGCTACTGTTTCTATTCATCAATTCAATTTTCAGAAATCAGAGAATAATGTCACTCTTATGTTTCACTATATGGGTGAAGAGGGAGGCAACATATGGATGAAGAGGGAAAACTTGTTTTGGGGATGAAAGATGGTAAAATTCACAGGAGGAAAATCAAACACTGAGAACTGGCCTTTGAAATCGGACAGATCTCACTGTACAGATGTTGTTCTGCTGTAGTCTGCTGCAGAAGGAACTTTTAAGACTCTTGGGAAACATCAAGCCAATTACAGTCATTTCCTGTTCTCCTTACATACATTACTACATTTTTAATTATCATCCATATATGCACCACAACGAAAGATAGTTCCTGCCCTAAGGAACTGCCAAATCTAGGCAAGGTTGATGGAAGTATAACGTATTGTGGATAAGCCACTTACACATATTAAATGTACCCAATTAATCTTTAGGATATACATGCAGAATCAACTGGAAACTTGTGTGCACATAGACACCACATCTCCAAATGAGGTAGAGATAAAACCATGCACACCTGGTGCACACCAGCAATATCTGCTGATCAGTTAGTTCTCTGCTCCTTCAATCTCTCTCTGCAGGACCCTCAGGCCAGTGTGAAATCCATACACAGCCTCAAGGCTGTGGAATATCTTGGTAGAGCTCTGACAGTATGATCTTCAGGAGGAGCCCATGCACTCATCCCTTGGCAAGCAGTAAGTGTGGGAATTGTGGCTGAATCCACTTTCCCCCTTTCCGTTGTGGTGGACCTTCTGTGTCTGTAAGAGCCTAAAGAGATGCTTGGATGTTTGCAGAGATTTATCCTCTATTTTCTGTTCTAAACACAGAATTACTCCTTTGAAATACTGAGCCTTAAGCCAGTCCCTCAAGGCTTTAATGAGAATTTTGCCTAGGTAATAAAATGAATAATGGCTTCAGGTTTTGGCCCTAGATGAAAACAGCTGTTCTCTTGTGACAGAAAAGAACACTCCATCAGCATGAAGTACCTCCATGGTCACCAACACAGTAAATCATTTCACAAATCCCTGACCACTGATCTTTCAGTTGCCTTGCTGTTTGAAATGGATATGAGGTCCCCAGTTAGGTAACCTTCCTAGTGCAACCATTCAGCTCTGTTTTGTTGAAACTAAGTAACTAAGGTTTGTTTTCAAGACAAAACACCTTGGAGTGAGGCAGGAGAGAAGGAGAAGTGCCACCCCAGGGTGCCTAATAAGGGGCAATTCCATAGAGCTTCTGGGCTGCTGTGGGTTTGTCAGCTCAGTAGTGTGACACAGACAGGCACACACATGAACTGATGGGAATTACAGCAAGAACAAAACATCACAACCGGCCACGTTACACAGAGCTGTTCCCTCACTCAGATATTCAACAAAGTTCACTGGGTGTTATCACAGAAGACAAAAACATGTCAAAAGGTGTCTTGTATTTACTTCTTTTTTCCACATTACTGAAGGAAAAGACAAGATAAGCCATATTTCTTGTGCTATTCTTGTGTCAGTTAACTTGATTACATTCCTCAAGATCAGTTTTTAAATATTAGTGTCTCCTGTCAGTAAATTAGCCCACTTCTGTGTACAGTCCAGCATTTCAGCCAGAAGGCATTTTGCTGCCCAAGAGAACCAAGCTGGCGTTTAAACATAACGGAAAGAATTTGTTTCTCAAAAGTATAAGTATTGTAAAAGTAGCTGTTCATAAATTGCTCCATTTGTACCCCACCCAAGTGAGGTTCTTCTCTCTTCTTGATGCATTCCATAAAGGAAAAAGTTCTTATCCTGAATGTTCCAAAACCTATGAGCCCACTAGCATCGTGGACCTGAGCCCCATGTCTGAGATTCTTTGTTGAAGGCACATCTGAATGAGAAATCCTCATGTGAGCAGACGGCATGCTTTCTCTATCCCTTCTGAAATCTGCCTTTCTGATATCCATCCCAGGGAATGCTGGAGGGTGGACAGGATGGCTGTACCTCCCCAGCTGGGGTGCTGAGTACCAGGAGCAGTACTGAGGCAGTATAACAGAAGCACAGTCCTGCCGCATCGAAGAACAAGCCCAGTGAGGCCTTTTGAAAGAAAGATGAAAAAATATGCATTCTGTTTTTCTTCTATACTGTTGACTACAACTTTACACAATAGTGCAAGGAAGGAAGTGAAGAAAGCAGCTTGCCGTGCTGCAGCGCACCAACAACTTCCTGCAGCTCCTTAGGCCCATGAGGAGATCTTCTGAAACACACTGTGGCAGGTAAGGACAGCATAGGGTGCATCAATGGCAACACTGACCATACCACGGGGTACTTCTTCATCTCTTTAGGTCAGGCCCCATATGCAAGCATCACACCTACCAACAAATAAATATGTGATATGTAAGTGGTAAGGCTACGAAACTGGTTGCGCAGAGAGGTGGTAGATGCCCGTCCCTGGAGACATTCAAGGTCAGGCTGGTCAGGGCTCTGAGAAACCTGATTGAGCTGTAGATGTCCCTGCTCATTGCAGGGGAGATGGTCTGGATGACCTTTTAGGATCCCTTTCAACTCAAATGATTCTATGATTGTATGACTATGCTTCCACTGGGTACAAAGCAGCAATGGGCTTTGCTTGGGCAGGTGCCCAAAGTCAGAGGGGAGCTGATACAGGTGGCACTTTCTCCACCTGTGTGCCCCCTCCTTGAGGGGGAAGAAAACAGCAGATCTTGTACAGAGCAATCCCAGTGTCACCTGTTGATTCAGGACACTTTCCCGTTGTGTAGAACATTTCCTTGCAGCCTCCCCCAAGGCTCCAGGGCTGCAGGATAGCTTCCTGAGGTGGCACTGGGGAGGGAAGGAGGGGAGGGAGGACTGCCAGCACCACCCCCCCACACTCCCCCTCGGCTGCGCTGCGTCTGTTCCCATTTAAAGTTCAAAGCCTTCCACATGGCAGCTGAACGGGACACTTTCCAAAACCTACAGGAGGCTGGGAAGCAGTCCAGTGTAACAAGGAGTATCCTGCCTGAAACAGAAGAAATGGCAAATAAGCATATGTGAAGCGTACCCCTTTTTGTCACAACCAGAGCAAACAACTTCCTCCTCACTTGCAGGAGCGCGTGCAGCCCGTCTTTGTGAGGTGAGGCTGCTGCAACCCAGAGGCTGACAGCAGCCATCCCCATTCCCCACATTACTCTGTTCCTACCTAGTAATTCTGCTCTCAGCACTACTAACCCTTTTGTCAGCCTCCCCCAATCCCAGACCTAACAGGCTCCTGCAGTGCCTTGCAGATGAGTTTATTTGTGGGATAAGGACTCATCACGTGCAAGACTTTTATAGGACTAAGCCTTGTTGTTCTCCTTGAAGTCCTCACTACAATTTCTTTCCAGCTAAATCCCTTTCAGTCTAGCTCCTGAGGTTGGATTCAGACTCCATTTCCTGTGGCTTTGGCTTGGCTGGGTTTTGTGCTCTTTTTCTCTTCTTAATCCTTCAGCTTTCTTTTGCTGTATTTTTTCTTTGCCTGTAGCAGTGTTTGTATAACCAGACTTTAGCACAGCACTGAAATGGAAGCAACATCAGTCGGCCTCTGAGCAGGCAGCACTCATCCATGGGCATGGGAAGGGACAGAGAGAACCTCCTCATTTAAACCCACATTTGTACCATTCTCCCACATTCTCCATTTAAACCACAAATGCACCACATGCTCCATTTAAACCCACAAATGCACCACATTTGCAGATAGGACTTTCAATCATTATTTTTAAGAATGGTGAGATCTCAAATGTCATAGAAATTTCAGGCACAGACTTTGTGAGTCACAGACATACCAAAATCAGTTCCTCCTCATCAGCAAAGAGCCAAAGCCATTGCTACTCTGCACTTCAGTCCGTGCAGCGGCTGTAATAACACCCTGTTCAAGGCAGCATGAGGCTCCTGCTTTGCATACAGCAATGAAAAGCTGAAGGACATTGTGGGCCAGTGCTTCTGGCATGGCAGCCCATGATAATTAAACAGCAGCAGCTACATATCTGTCGACTCAGGAATGGCATACTTTCCTGGTGAGCTGGCGGTGGCAGGTAATAAAGCTTGCGCACTCACCCTCCCACTACTAACAGAGCTGCTGGGAGCCTCTCCTCCCGGAGGAATGCTGGAGCAGGCACTGAGAGAGGCTGTGGTCAGCAGCGCTGGGCAGGCGGTGGCTGCACACTCAGCACGCACCGCGTGTGCAGAGCCATGCATGCTTCCTGGGCAGCTCCTGGGTGCTGCTGGTAGGGAAGGCAAGATCCTTCCCACTCGAGCAGGGAGGGAACCTTTTTGCTTTTAGCAGTGTTTGGACCATTCGATCTCATTCCTGTTAAAGAGAGATGGTTGCAAACGTGTACAAGCCCCCACATTTTTTCTCAATATAAAATCCTCCCCACTACTTCACAAGTTCTTAGCCAACATCTCATTGATTACTGCTGCTGTATCTCCTCCTAAACAGATGAAGTATTTCAAGCACTTTGGAGAAAAGTATGTCCCCTCTCTGCACTGACGTGTGCAGAAATGCTTCTCATACTTTCTGGATCTCGCTTATCTTTCCCAAGGGCTGAGGTATGACGATCCTGGGTTATTCTTTTCCCTGGCACTCAGGACAGTGCCTCTGCTTTGCTCAGGAGGTGAGGGAGGTCACAGTCTTCCCTGACGCTTTGCTGAAGTTCCAGTATTTGAGACGTATTATGAATTATAATGATACTAATTGCTTTAGAACTGAATCTTATTGCCTTATAATGTTTACAGACTTTATTGCAAATAATCTAAGTGCTCCTTTCAGGCATATTTCTTCTGAAGCAAGGAATACAGTATAAATGCCTAAAATCTCAGGAGCTGCAAGGGATTAGGACACATGAAAAGATGGTTATTATTTCCTTCAGGAACTTCATGTTTCTGAGATATTCTTAACATCAAGCTCTTGCATCCCTTGGATACTCAAAGCTCCCGAGGGACCTGGGGAAGTTAGAGCCCAGCCAAGTCCACTTATTCCCACAGTTTGCTTTCCACACCTCATTAAAAAAGTAATCCAAGATTTCTCTTCAAAGCTTCAGCAGCCCTGCACATTGAAAAGAAACCTTTGGGAAACAAATCAGCACACACTGTTAAGTGCACACAGTACTCTGAGAAGGATTATTTGACAATACAGAAGAATTTCAGTGCAAAAACTAGAAGAGAAAAAAAATCTCAAAAAAAAAAAAAAAAAAAAAAAACCACCAGCAGAAGATCTGTTGACTCCAAACAAGATCTCCAGGTCTTCAAAGATTCATCTGTGCTCATAAGTTCTACTTTAGTTAAGCCAGCGCAGTGCAGTAAGCCTTCCTGGCATGGCAGCAGTTATATTGGTATGTTTCAGTCCAGGTATACAAAGCAAAACAGAGTGTATTGGCATGAACATTTTTTCACTCTGTATGCAGAGTACAGGTTTTGTTGGCAATGCATATATCAACAGCAAAACCATATTCTACATGATAAAACTTCAGTGCCAACTAGATATAAATGCTGACCAAAGTTACGTCTGTGCAAACATGCTTATTTCTTTCCCTTGGAGATCTATTTACCACCACCCCCCTTTGCCTTCCCTGCTGTACCTCCAGGTATCTCCATAGCTCCCGAACCTGTACCCAGGCCTGGATCCAGCCTGGGCTCCTCCAGTCCTCTCACAGTGCCCAAGGATCACACTGACTGGTTTGGTCATTTAAATTCCAGGTTTCCTCCCCACGCACGCATCCGCTTCTTTCCTATCAGAGGTGACTTAACCAGCTGCAGTAGGCAGCCAAAGCAAGCCCAGTTATTCCAGCAGGACAGGTGGGTGTTAGGCAACAGAGGTTTCTTGCCTATTCCCACATTTTCATAAAGGAAATGAATACAGGGAATTAATACAATTCATGAGAGGTATAATTTTTGTCTTGCCATCAGACTGCCTCACCAGCTTGTTTTCCATTGCAAAGAGGTTTCGCTACGAATTGACCTTATTTTTCCCCACAGACATTTTCTCTCAGGCTCTGGCACATTGGCATTTACCAGGTATTTGAATGTGACTTTGCAGCAACCCCATAGGAGAGCCACCTATACTCAGTGATGTTGTCTCTGCAGACAGAGTAGGTATCAAATTGCTTCAAAGCATTGCTCATGGAACAATCCCAGCTCAGAAAACTCCTTTTCACCCCAAACACCTCCAAGCTTGCATGTCTGCAAGCTGGGGAAGCAAAGGGGTGGCTGTAGTGGGATTTCGATTCCCGATTACTGGGTTTCGGCCATTTACACAAGGAAAACTGTAGCTGATGCGAGTGTTAAAAGTAAAGAGACAAGCTTAGAAATCTGCTTTCCTTCATGTTTACTCAGCTTGAGTGAGGACAGACAAGCTGCAAAGAACATGAGTGGAAGTGGGAACTGGAACACTGCATTGATTCAACCATTAGCCTGAATCCTGCAGTGACCCAGATTGCAAAGATTAAAAGTGCCACAATCCTTGAACTAACAAAGTAGGTAAGTGGATAGGGCTTAATAATGGTGTGATACTTAGGTTACAATCTGTGTACAGTTTGCATCAAAAAGAAACTCTTCCTCTGTTTGATGAACTTACTTTTCCTCCTTCCCAGTCTGGCTGGAATTGGCATTTATACCTATGTAGGGTCTTGATCCTCACAGAGAAATGCAACAGTACAGAAATGACTCCATTTTTTATCATCAACTGTTTTTCCCTTCTGTTTTTTATCATCATTTTTTATCATCAACTGTTTTTCCCTTCCTTCCTTCCTTCCTTCCTTCCTTCCTTCCTTCCTTCCTTCCTTCCTTCCTTCCTTCCTTCCTTCCTTCCTTCCTTCCTTCCTTCCTTCCTTCCTTCCTTCCTTCCTTCCTTCCTTCCTTCCTTCCTTCCTTCCAAAGGGATGTGCAGTGAGAAAGTGCAGTGATTACCTGGATAAAAAGTAAAAATAGGAAAGGCATTAGTTCAAGGAGAAGTGACATCTAGTACAATTATATGACACTGGTAGAGATGGAAAACAAGGCACCAACAGTACTTGTCAAATGAAAAAATATAGCACCATTGTGGTGAATGTGGGATCTGTAGAAAAGCCTGTACCTCTGCTACACTGCTTTGATAACAAAAGCAAAAGAGACACTGAGTTGTTAGGCTGCTGCTTAAAGAAGGAATATGGTACAAGAGAGTCACTTTGGAATTCAGATAGCTCAGAAATGTACCACTATCTCTAAGCCTCTCTTTCTGCAGGCAGAAACACAGTGCTTGTGGCAACAGCTGTATCATTAGAGAGCAAAATGATGACTGCCTCTAATGCAGAAGGCATTTCAGGGTTGGCTGTCTCAGTGACACTCTCTGTCCATTTTGTGTCAGCAAGATCTCATGCACTGGGCGAGCCTGTTTGTCAAGGATCATAAAAGAAATGTTCAAGGACCATAAAGGAAAATTTTCCATTTTGTTCAGGAAGGGAGAAATCATGGGGTGTGATGTATTACAGCAGGGCTGTCTAACCCTTGGGAGGCAGGATAACAGCTCTGATTCCCCCTGAGTTCTATAGACTTGTGGGGCCAAAGTCCACCAAGGGCAGGAGCACCTGGATTGCTTTGAGCCTTGCTGCCAGATATCCCCATATCTTTGCCAATGCTGCTCACAGAATAAATACCTGGCGGATCCCCTGTGACTCCTACAGGGAAGTCCATCATCTGAGGTGTGAATATGGCTGCCAGCCTGGTATGTACTGGCATTTTGTAACCAGAGAAGTAGAAGCTGCCATTAGTTTTTATCTCTCAAGTCTTAATTCTGAAGAATGCAACGCTTCCAGTTACAATAAAAATGATTATTACAGCAGAAACCGTGGAGTTAGATGAGTAAATAATAACCATCTGACTCATTTCCTAACTCAGAGATGTCTGAAAACCCATGTTTTCAAGTCACAGAGCAAAATATTCTCTCTCAGCATTTCCACCTTTTCTCTTTATTGTGCATAAAGAGAGAAAATTCTGCAGTAAACGGGCCTTGTGACAATGTCTTGTTAGGCTATTTCCAGAGAAGACTGCACTTTGTGTTATCTACAGGCGTATCACATCCTAAAGAACAGTGCAGATGTAGGAGATTGGTCTGTAAAGCACCTTTCTGAACTGTTGGCACCACATGGCCCTCCAATCTGTGGTTTGATGTTTCTTTATCATAATGGTCAGATGAATCAGGATTGGTTTTAAAACAACATTTCCATGCTGCAAGGAAGGTAGATCTTTAATAAGTAAATAGGGTGTGAATTAAAAGAAACCACAAAATGAGAGAATTGTGGTTTTGTTCTTGAGCAAACTTACTCAATTCATTGAATATTTTAGTAACACAGCATTACATATCAGGGCCTTTATTAAGTTGATCTATGGATTTTGCCAGAACTTGAACTGGCCATTTCATAGATGATACGGGTACGAGTTATTAAGCAGTCTTCCAAGACAACCATGAACACAATGGAACATGTTGCCCAAGGAGGTTGTGGAAGTCCCATCCCTGAAGGTATTCAAGGCCAGGCTGGATGTGACTCTGGGCAGCCTGGTCTGGTGGCTGGTGACCCTGCATATAGCAGACAAGTTGAAACTAGATGATCATTGTGGTCCTTTTCAACCCAGGCCATTCTATGATTCTATGAAATCAGTTTTTCTTGGTATATATTTATGGAGGTATCTGTTAAGATAAGAAGTTGCATGTCTTGTAATCAAGAATGAGCCACTAAAACACAGAACTCTTGTTAATTATGGGAAAGAGCCCAAAATATCTGTGGTCCATGCAATCCTGATGACAGCCTCTCAGATTGGGTAAACATTTTAACACTGATATCTTGAAAACATATGACATGCTGAAGAACATAAACAAAAACCAATTGTTTTTACCTGTAAACAAAAATGGCACAATTGGAATCATTTGAATATTTTTAAAAATTCTGATTATATGACTCTAGGAACCTGGGAAGGATCCAATAAGAACAGTCAAAATGGTTGAGGCTGGTGATCTGTTCAGAGTCTACCTACAATTATTGCACGTGATATTTTGAGTTAAAAGACATTAGCAAGGGATTTGCAAAAATTTTGGATACTTCAGTAATTCAAAACAGGCATGACATATATTCAAAACAGGAGGCTTTTCCAGCAATCTGACCCCTGCCTCTTGCATAACCCTGTTCCCACTTGTCCTGCCTATTTTTCTTC